TTTCAAAATTTTGTCGCTAAAAGCCTTATTTTTTACTTTTCAGGACGACTTTTTAGCGACTATCCTCACGACGATAGAAATTGGTCTCTAAATATTTTTTGCAACAAATTTTTCACTTTTAGAGACCAGAAAATCTGGTCTCTAAAACTCATATATTGTAGTGTGCATAGCCTTTCTTCTGTTTCTGTGCTTTAGTGTGATAATTTGTCTACCTTATCTTTGGCCTTAAATCCTGTTTTTCATGCTAGGACAAAACATATTGAAATCGATAATCATTTTGTCTGAGAAAAGGTGTCTGCCAAACAATTTCTCATTCAGTATGTTGCTTCTTCAAATCAGGTTGCTGATGTGTTCACTAAAGCTCTTCCTATTAGCAGGTTTCTTTTTCTCAAGTCTAAGCTTCTAGTTGATCTTCCCCCTATCAGCTTGCGGGGGGCTAATGACCAGTGTAGCTTAGACAGCTCAAACAATGACAATGCTAGTTAAGCACTAGCCCAAAACAGTGACAATGCTCCAAGGCCTGCTAAGTCTAGCAGCACAAGTACCTGTTGTGCCAGAGCTCTATAGTGTGTGTAGGATAAAAGGTAGTCTAGTGCATATTAGCGAAAGAATAGTGTATGTTAGAAAACCCTTTTAACAACTGTTTATTAATTTGTTAGATGGTTATCCTTTTGTATATAAATATATTAACCCATTGTTGTAAACTCGAAGTGAGTGAGTTCATTTGATTAAAAAAAATCAGTTCAGTTTTTTATCATTCTTTCTCTTCATAGATATTTTCAAGAAGCTGGTGTTGATTTCTTAGATACTTTTAGCCCTATAGCAAAGCAACTAGCCATCAAAGTTTTCTTATGTGTTCCTCTTCATTTTAATTGGCCTATTAAGTAGTTGGATGTCTCTAATGCTTTTCTTCATGGCAAGCTTGAAAAAGAGGTTTTTATGGCTCAACCATCTGGTTTTGAGGATCGTCAATTTCCTACTCATGTGTGTAAGTTGAACAAGGCTTTTTATGGTCTTAAACAAGCTCCAAGAGCTTGGTTTTCTACTTTCTCCTCTTTTCTGCTTAACCTTGGTTTTGTCAATAGCCACTGTGATAATTCCTTGTCTATTCAAATTACTGCTACCACTTTCACCTATCTCTTGGTCTATGTTGATCACCTGCTAGTTCTAATTTGAATTAACAGTATTTTGGTCAATCTACCTCTCGAAATTTCTCTTTCCAAAATAGAGGAGGCAATAGATCTCAAGGCTATCAGTATAGAGGTAGTAGATACAATAATCAAAAAGGAAGAAGAGGAGGCAGACCTCAGAGTTATGGATTGATCTATCAAATCTATGGAAAAGGAAATCACTCTGCCTTAGAGTGTAGGCATCAACTGAATACCTCTTTTCAGCCTGTGTTTCCTTCTTACACCATAGGACCTTCACTTTCACAAATGTTTTCATTTAATCCTAGAGCCTTTTATGGTCATACTCCTTTTCCTTCTATGTCTACATCTATGCAGTCCTCTTCAGCTCTATCGTATGTTGATTCTACTGTCATTTCTCATCTTAAAAATGATCTGAGCAATTTTCATCTCTATCAACCTTATCAAAGACAAGATCAAGTCATGATTGGTGATGGAAATACTCTTCCAATCCATAACTCTGGCACTGGTATATTGACTTTTCCCTCTTTTCAATTTAGGCTTAACAATCTTCTTTATGTACCACAAATATCATCAAATTTGTTATCTGTTCATCAACTAACTACTAATAATAATTGTAGCATTACTTTTGACAATGAGTTATTTATGATTCAGGACAACTCACCAACAGGGAGTTATGTAGAGAACATTATCAAAATGGCCTCTACCAGTTTCTTTTTTCATTTTCTCCTAAAGTTTTTTCTTCTGGTACTAGTTCTCTTGTTACTATTTGGCATAAGAGATTAGGGCATCCTTCTTCTGATGTGTTTCATATTATTGCAAATAAAAGTGGTTTGTCCTTTAGTCATAAGGATTGTAATACTTTTTGTCATTCTTGCTGTGTGTCAAAGAGTCATCGACTCCCTTTTGTACTGTCAACAAATAAAACTCATGCTCCTCTTACTCTGACTCACTCAGATGTTTGGGGCCCTTTCACTCAAGTGCATGCTTCTTTTACTTACTATGTTATTTTTATTGATGATTTTAGTAATTTTACTTGGATTTATCCTCTTTCTTACAAAAGTGAAGTATATACTAAATTCTTAGAATTTAAATCATATGTTGAAAATCAATTTTCAACCTCTCTCAAAATTTTAAGAACTGATGGGGGAGGTGAATATACTAGTGGTCTATTTGAGGCTTTTCTTCGAACCTCTGGGATTGTTCATCAGCTTAGCTATCCTCATACTCCATCACAAAATGAAGTTATTGAGAGAAAGTATAGACGTCTTATTGTGACAACAATCACACTACTTGATCAATCATCTGTGCCTCTAAAATTTTGGTTTGAAGCTTTTGCTACTACTATTTATCTGATAAATAGAATGTCTTCTCCTGAACTGGGTAATCTCAGCCCCTATGAGGTGTTGTTCAAGATGGTTCCAGACTATGGTTTTCTCAAGGTTTTTGGCTGCAGATGTTATCTATGGTTGAAGCCTTATACTTCTCACAAATTGCAACCAAGATCCAATGCTTGTGTCTTCATTGGTTATCATCCAAGCTACAAGGGATATAGATGTTTAGACCCTTTTTCTGAGACAGTCTACATATCTAGACATGTTGTGTTTGATGAAAGTTCTCTTTCCTTTGCTTGTTCTGACTATTCTTCACAACCTCTACTTTATTCTAAATCAGCCATTAAGTCATTCTTTTGGGATACTTCTTATTTTCCTGCTTCTCAGGTTTCTATCTATTTCCCTTTGATTTCAAATTCTCCTTATATTTCTTTACCATCCTCTCATCCAACTGATCATTAAGGCTTTTTTCCGCTACTGATCTCATTTCTTCTTTAGCTTCTACTTCCCTTCATGTCTTAGATAATCCTGGTTTTATCTCTTCTCCTTTATATTCTTTTCCACCTGGCATTAATCTTACTATTCCTATTTTTTCTCAAAATCTCAATTCTCACCCTATGCTCACTCGAAGTAAGACAGCAATCTCTTCAACATTTGGTCTTATTGCTTCATTTCTTAACACAGAGCCGAGAAACTATAAAGATGCCCTGCAATGTTCTTATTGGCATCAATCTATGCTTGAGGAATTTCAGGCTCTTCAAGCTCAACAAACTTGGTCTCTTGTTTCTCCTCCTGCTCAAATGTTGTAAGATTTAAATGGGTCTTTAGAATAAAAAAGAATTCAGATGGCTCTATTGCTAGGTACAAATCTAGACTTGTTGCCAAGGGATATCTTCAAGAAGTTGGTGTTAATTTTATAGATACTTTTAGCCCTGTAGCAAAACAACCAACCATCAAAGTTTTCCTATGTGTTGCTCTTCATTTTAATTGGCCTATTAAGTAGTTGGATGTCTCTAATGCTTTTTTTCACGGCAAGCTTGAAGAAGAGGTTTTTATGGCTCAACCACCTGGTTTTGAGGATCCTCACTTTCCTACTCATGTGTGTAAGTTAAACAAGGCTTTTTATGGTCTTAAACAAGCTCCAAGAGCTTGGTTTTCTACTTTTTCCTCTTTTTTGCTTAAACTTGGCTTTGTCAATAGCCACTGTGATAATTCCTTGTTTGTTCAAACTACTGCTACCACTCTCACTTATCTGTTGGTCTATGTTAATGACATTCTTCTTACTAGTAACTCTTCTTCTCATGTTCAGGCCTTAATTTCTTAGCTTCATTTAGTTTTTTCTCTCAAAAACCTGGGTCATCTCTTTTTTCTTTTTGGGTATTTCAGTTACATCTTTTTTTTCTAGATTCTTCTTATCTCAGTCTCACTATGCTTCCAAGTTACTTTAGAAAGCAGGCATGACTGATTGTAAGCCTGCTCATTCTTTTCTTAGTCTCATTTCCTCTTCTTTTATCTCTCAGCCCTCTTCCACAGCTTTTTCCAATCCCTCTCTTTACAGAAGTCTTGTTGGTGGCTTGCAATACTTGACTATCACTTGCCTAGATTTGGCTTTTGCTATGAATCAAGCCTATTAACACATGCAAACTTCTTCTCAAAATGATTTTGCTGTAGTTAAATGTCTGCTCTGCTTTGTTAAAGAGACTGTGCATCATGGTTTGCATTTCTCTTCAAGTTCATTTGATCTTCATGGTTTTTCAGATGTTGATTGGGCTAGTAATCCTTGTGACTGACAATCCACTTCTAGCTTTTATATTTACCTGGGTTCTAATATGGTTTCTTGGACTGCTAAAAAGCAGCCCACTGTGGTAGGGTCCTTTACTGAGGCTAAATACAGATCCACGGCTCAAACTGTAGTTGAGGTGTCTTGGCTTCAGATGTTGCTTCACGATATGCATATCCCTTCTTCTGTTCTTGTGCTTTGGTATGATAATTTGTCTATCCTATCTTTGGCCTCAAATCGTGTTTTTCATTTTAGGACAAAACATATTGAAATCGATTATCATTTTGTCTGAGAAAAGGTGTTTGCCAAACAACTTCTCATTCGACATGTTGCTTCTTCAGATCATGTTGCTGATGTGTTCACTAAAGCTCTTCCTATTAACATGTTTCTTTTTCTCAAGTCCAAGCTTCTAGTCGATCTTTCCCCTATCAGCTTGCGAGGGGCTAATGACCAGTATAGCTTAGACAGCTCAGACAATGCTTCAAGGTTTGCTAAGTCTAGCAGCACAAGTACCTGTTGTGCCAGAGCTCTATAGCGTGTGTAGGATAAGGGTAGTCTAGTGCATATTAGTGAAAGAATAGTGTATGTTAGAAAACCCTCTTAACAACTATTTGTTAGTTTGTTAGATGGTTATCCTTTTGTATATAAATATATCAACCCAGGACGAGGAGGGTAAGCACAATATGAATAATAGGGATATGGTGGTGAAACTGGAAGATGATTTCCAAATCTAAACGGTCAAACTCCAACCCTTACCCTAACTTCAACACCAACATTATCCATCATCCCTTGTAGGCTTTTTAGAAGTGCACGCTCTTGTTTGTGTCCGTTCTGGTGCCCTGCTACTGCTTTTGAAGTAGGGAACTCTCCCTTGCAGAAGTTGCATAAGAAAACCCTAGTCCCCGCTGCCTCTTCCTCCTCCCATGCCCGCTTCTTCCTTTTCTTCTCACGCATGCCCTTCTTCTCTGACCACGGTGGTGATTCAATATCGCTCGCCTGAAAAAAACCCGCCTTTGATGGCTTTAAAAGATTCAGTTCCTCGTTTGAGAGCTTAAGATCTCGCAAAAGGTGAGATCCAGCAGGTTTGGGTGGCCTTGGCAAATCAGAATCAGACCCTCTTTCCAAACCTTTGCCTTTCATCATGTTCATCTTGTCTCTGTCATTGAGCGGAGGCCATTCGAAGATGCGGGAGGACTCTGATGGATTTTGTTTTGCACCACCACCGACTGCTTCCATCGCAAATTCTTCGCAACTTTGGCTTTGGGTTTTGGCTTGCGTTTGGTTGGGAATTATTAATAGAATGAATGAAATTAAGAGCAATGTTTTTTAAATAATGAGGGGACTTAATGTTGAATCTATAAATATATGGAAAGATATCTTGTTGTGCAAGCAGTGCATTGCATTGTGGATGTTTATATATATATATATATATATATATATATATATGTAACGTAATATCTCGCTATCATTGGAAATTTGTAATGCCAACATAGAAGGAAGATAATTATAAAAACATGCCATGTCATATACAAGCTCAAGTGGATGAACTATACTTATATTTCTTTAATTTGGGTTCATTTCGATAATTCAAATCATACAATATGTAGAACCTGTGAAGTATATTATCCGTACAAAAAATCACACTAATCGGATATCGATAGCCAGTTAATCAAATTACATTTTTGTCATAATTTATTTTAAAAATTATTCTTGTCGTTGACGGAAATATTTTTTAATGAAATATTTACTAATATCCGATTAATGTGGTTTTTTACAAGGATGATATAAAAGACAAGTTCTACATATTGAACAGTCAGAATTATTGAGATGGACTTGGATCAGGGCCCATAACAGTCCAACAGCACCCGAGTCATGTTTTTTTTTTTTTTTTTGAACGGCGAAGCAAATGATCTTTATTGATGAAACATACGACGTATGACAAAATACATCAATAAAGAGGAGCTTGAAGTTGGTAAGGAGCCAACAAGAAACAGAAAAAGCAAAAACAGAACCAGAACAGAACAACCAGAGCAGAACAAACTGCCAAAAACAAAACTGCCAAGAACCAGAACCAGCACCATGGAGGTAGAGACAAAACCCTGAACTAGAGCCAGCAACCAGCAGCAAACCAGCAACCATGAACCAGAACCACTGCTACCTGAATGAATCAAAACCTGCGGCCATGAAGCAAAACCATCGCTACCTAAAGGCACTATTGAAAATAGATAGAACCAAGATAAAACCAAAACAGAACCAAAAATAGAACAAAATTTCCATGCCATGGACAGCAGCAGCCAGATATCACTACCCAGAACCAGCACTTGAATGAATCAGAACCACGAACACTACTGCCTGAAGGCTTCACTGACAAGAACACAGTAGCCAGATATCAACATAACAGATTACCATACCAAGAGCATTATCAACCAAAGCAACTCATGAGCGAATGTAGTGCCTTACACCAGAAGCATTGAAGAGAAGATCATTAATGTAGAATGGAAAATGACTAGAAGAGGACTTTAACGAGATCGCTAGCCTAATGATGAAAAGATCCAACAACAACTGAGTGTTGAGTTGAGAGGCTTGAAAGAGACACTCGTTTCTGATCTTCTAGATGGACCAGAGGGTGACCAAAGGAATGGCACGCCAGAGTCTCCTCTTCTTTTTCTTACAGATGTACCCTGCCCACCACTGCAACAGGTCTTCAACAGGCAGGAACCACCCAAAGAATTCCCCACCATTGTAATAACCCAGTCCAAATTCTCCACACCAATGGGTAATGAATCAGGACATGTTGGACAGTTTCCTGCTGTGATTTACAGAAGAGACATGAGGTAGAAGCCCACCTATCCAAAATACCAATCCGTTGCAAGAAGACAGAAGTTTTAACCTTGTGTTTCCAAGCGAGCCAACCGAAAAATTGCACTTTGGATGGCAGATAATTGAGCCAAACCAAACCACTAGAATTAGCAGTGTTGCCCAAGGCAAGGTTAGAGTGATTATAGAGAGCGGAAACAAAAGACTTACCAGGATATAGTGCTGCCCAATCTGCACTGTCATCAACTCCTAAATTCAAGGAAGGGGGAGCTACTATGGTGGTAATAAGTCTGTGGAGCTCATCTTTTTCCCATTCAAAAAGGGCTCTCCTGAAGGTAAACGGCCAAATGGAAGCTGTATTTGACACAAAATCCTTGAGAAGTCCCTCCTTACTATTGAAAAGTTGAAAAAGTCTGGGGAATTCATCTTTGAGGCAAAGAAACCCACACCATTGATCATACCAAAACTCAATTCTATAGCCATTCCCCACTTTTAAATGGAGATTACTAACATAGAACAATAGGAGGGACTCATGCTTATCTGTTGCTGCCACAATGCCACCCCAGATATTAGAATGATGATTACTAGAGCAGAGGTTTAGAAGCCATAACCCTCCTAGAAACATGTATTTACTACATAAGACCCTCTTCCATAGTGAATCATGATCTAAGGCAAACCTCCACCACCATTTAAGTAGTAAGCACACATTCACATCCCTTATTCTTATGATGCCCAATCCTCCTTGCTTAATGCTCTTTGTTACCTCCGACCATTTAACAAGATGAATTCTCCTCTTTAGATCTGGGCCTCCCCAAAGAAATGAAGCTTGGATTTTGTCTATCTCATTAGCTACGCCTTCAGGTATCTTGAACAGAGATAAGTAAAATACTGGAAAGCTTGACAGCACTGCTTTCACCAAAGTCAACCTCCCAGCATGAGAGAGAAACCTCCTTTTCCACCAAGAAAGCCTCATTTTGAATTTGTCTACAACTGGTTTCCACATCCTCTTTCTTTTAGGGTTAGCACCAAGCGGCAATCCAAGATACTTGAGTGGTAAACTTTGGATCTTGCAATTCAGCAGATGTGCAAACTTCTCTAGAGCATTGCCAGGAATACCAACCCCACAAACCACGCTCTTATGATAGTTGATTTTGAAACCTGACACAACCTCAAAGCACCTGAGGATCCTTTTCAAAGTGAGGACTTCCGATAACTCAGCTTCACAGAACAAAAGAGAATCATCTGCAAAGTGGAGACGGGACAGCTGGACTTGATTATTTCCAATGGCAACCCCTTTGAGCATAGTCAACTCCCGAGCTCTGTGGAGGAGAATGTTTAGAGCTTCAACAACCAAATTGAAAAGGAATGGGGTAGAGGGTCGCCTTGTCTGAGGCCTTTTTGAGGATAAAATTCCTTAGTTGGAGAGCCATTTACAAGGATTGAAATTCTTGAAGTAGAGATACATTCCTTGATCCATGAAGTCCATTTAAGGCCAAAACCAAAATTAGTTAACATTGAGAGAAGAAAATCCCAATTGACAGAGTCAAAGGCCTTTTCGAAACCCAGTTTTAACAGCAGTCCAGATTTTCTTGATTTAAGCCAGCTATCTACAACTTCATTAGCATCCAAAACTCCGTCCAAAATGTTCCTACCTCCCAGGAAAGCTGATTGTGAGTCACCAATGACCGCAGGCATAACTTTTTTGAGTCTGGATGCAAGGACTTTAGATAGAATTTTGTACACAGAACCAACAAGGCTTATAGGCCTATACTCAGTTAAGGTGACAGTTTTCTCTTTCTTTGGAATCAGTGTGATGAAAGTACTGTTATAGCATGTTGGTAATCTGCCGCTGGTGTGAAATTCCTTCATAAAGTTGAGCACCTCCACCTTAAGCATCTTCCAAAACTTTTGAAAAAATAGCAGGTTAAAGCCATCCGGCCCAGGAGCTTTGTTCCCATGGAGCTTTGTTCCCATTACAATCAGCTATAGCTGCCCAAACTTCTTCTTTAGAGAACTCTGCCTCAAGCAAATGAAAATGGTCGCTAAACCTTACACTCTTGAAATCTCCAACAAGAACCGTTCTATGCTTCCAAGCTTCGGAGAAATGATTGGAGAAGAAAGACCACACTTCTTTTTTAACTTGAGCTGGTTCCTCAAAGATTGTATCCCCCACTGTGATGGAATTGAGAGAATTTCTATTTTGCCTACAAGTAGCCATAACATGGAAAAATCTTGTATTTTTATCACCTTTCATATTCCAATCCTGCCTAGATTTTTATAGCCATTCCCATTTTAACTTCTTGCTCAACTTCCACCTTTCGTTCTTTTTCTCTCTTTGCTGCTTCAGGTCTTCCTCCACTAGAGGCCTAATCTCAGCTTTCAAGTTCAATTGATGAAGATCATTTTCAATAACTTGCAGCTTAGATGAGACATCACCATATACCTCTTTACTCCATTTTTTTAGAGCCAACTTGAGGGCAAACAACTTTTTCTGAAGGGTGAAACCAGCAGGCCCTGAGAACTGTGAGTGACTCCAAGTATGTTCCACAAAGGATGCAAAATTCAAATGCAACATCCACGCATTTAAGAACTTAAATGGTTTAGGCCCCCAATCTCTAGTATCCTCCATAAGTACAATAGGGCAGTGATCAGATGAGGCTCTAGCAAGACCCCACTGGTTGAATTTAAATTTTTCTAGCCATTCAGGACTAAGAAGGAACCTATCTATTCTGCTCCACTTATGACCGTCAAATGCATTGCACCAGGTGTATTTTCTGCCAAGCAATAGAAGATCAACTACCTCACATCTGTTAATAAAATTGTTGAAATCCTTCATACCCCTATCCCTGAGTGATACACCTACACTTTCCCCTATATTTCTAATCTCATTGAAGTCACCACCAGTACACCAAGGCTTGGGGAAATAAGTTTTCAAATTTAACAGAGATTCCCAAAATTTCCTTTTCCTTATGATGTCATTGGGAGCATGAATATTAACAAGTACACAGTCAAAGGAGTTGAAAAGCTTACCTAATAGGAGAAGAAAGTTTCTGCTGCAACAGCACTCAGTACGCTCAAATATGACTGGATCCCATATACGAAGTAAACCACCAGCCAACCCTTCAACATCTACATTCATGAATTCAAGCCTATCTCTAGGCCAGACACTTTTCACCATCAAGTTGGTTAGACTTGATTTTTTTGTTTCTTGGAACAAAGCCATGTCAATCTTTCTTTCTAATAACAATTTCCTTGTGCGCATCACATAGTAAATCTAGGCTAATAACCGGAATAAGAACGCATAATGTTTTCAAAAATAGATATCATGGTTAGTAGAGGCCGATCTTTGATCGGGCGAACGGGGGTGCTCACGAAGTGACCTTCCCCAATCGTACCCAAGTTCTCGAGCCGAGGCAACTTTGGTGATGACGGACACGTGGCCTACGCAAACGAGTCAGGGTTTCCTAAATTTTTCCAAAATAAAACATTTAGGTAGCGATTCTGTATCTGGCAAAGCAGTCTATGTTTGACACTTCTTTCAAAATCTGTTTTCTCAAAATGATTTGCCGGATTTGGACTCTTTGGTTCAGATTTAGAATCGTGACAATTTGAGAGTCCGAACTGTAGTGAGCCCAAAATGAACAAAACGGGACCCATCAACCCGGGGCGTTCGGGGACGTCTACAAGGCCTTCTCTTCTACTCCATTTTCTCTTACCTCTCTTCAATCGTTGAGTGTTGGAGCTAGAAAGAGTTGGACTGGAACTAGCACTTAACTTTGATTGTGAGCCCACCCAAGATGTTGCGCAAATTGGCCTAGCAGATGAGGACTTCAGTCCAGAACTGGAGGGCCCAATAGGCAGTGGCCCAAATGACTTATGACCCAATGCAATCTCCAACTGAATGCCAGGCCTATCTTTAAATGGTTGGCTTAGACTTTTAAAAAAGCCTGGGGTAAGATTATGAACATGCACTGCAGGTGTAAGTGCACCATTTTGGACTTCATGAGTACCCCCTACTGGCTGTTGCGTGTTACCCACAAATAGAGCTTCCACACCGTTCTGAATATCATGATTACACTACCCCTGATGCTGACTAACCACAGGTAATGATGATTCCACAACACCTACGCCTGTTTCATTTGAAAAGCTCGCGCAATCCCTGGTCTCTTCCACTGCTGATACATGGCTTAGACTACCACCTTCATCTGCCTTGTCAGCATCCACGTCAGATGTTAAAGCCACGTCAACTGCCTTGTCAGCATCTTCCCGAACCAAGCGAGGTTCTGCAGAGAGGTGAAGCCCCCCATTGATGTTGAAGCAAGCTTCGTTGGCTATGTTATTAGAATGCAAACCAATGGAGCTAATGCTATCCTTTTCTGAAATCGGCTCCTCTAAGACTCGAATAGAACAGATTCTACCTTTACACTCCAGATTTAGGCTGGTATTGATAAGATTCATAACATTTGTAACAATCTTGAACCAGCCACAGCGAAAGGATTTGGGGGAACTAACATCCCCATTCAGAAGGACTACCTCTCCCCAAAGTCGCCCAATCTTGAGAAAAGTATCAAAGTTCCACAGGTTGAGGGGCACTCCATAGCAAGTGACCCAGACACACCTCTCCTGTTGAAGATATATTCCTGCTCTCCATTCTGTAATATATTCACACCAGTCGTGAAACCAAGATTTAAACAGAGTCAGTTTACTCACAATCTCTTCCTTGGAGCTGAAGGAGATGATAGCATCACGCCCTCTTCCCTCCCTTACCAAAATATCCTTCGCCCATTTGTTAATGAGCTCATTTCTTACCTGCAGAACAGAGTAATGGGTTTTGAGCCTCATAATCATGCTTTCGTAGAGCCATCTATTCCCGATTTCATCTACTTTAATAGTTGTCACTAGTTGACAACGGGGTTCAGATCCCTTTATGACCTCTGCAAATGATCTACCATCAATGCGTTGTTGCCAGATCTGATTGGGTGCTACAGTACTGACCTTCGAAGGTTCAAAAAATCTTGGTGATAGCAGATTCTTCCTATGACCAACCATTCTTCCTTTACTATATTCTACAACTTTCACTGATAAAGACTTGTCATCAACCCACAAACCGTTGGCCTTTTGCTCAACAACATCAGCTGCAATAGAACAATCATAGCGGACGAAACCAAATTTGGTGTTTGTTGTTTTCCTTCTTTTATGTGAAATGAAAACATCCTTCACCACACCAAACTTGTTGAACAAATCATGAAGCTTTCTGGGTACCATTGATTCAGGCAAGTTATCCACAAATAATGTAAACAAGGATGCTCTTTGATCTGCAAGTTGCAAGTTAGAACGCAATTGTCTAGCTCTTTGTTTGACCACTGGTATCCAGCCTCCCCTTGCTCAGTTCTCTCTCTCCTTGTTTTCAATTCACTTACTGTCCTTGAGGCAAGAAGTGAAGTTGAAGGGGTTTTCTACGTCACTTTTTCACTTTGATTCTCAATTCATGGAGTTATGTAAGGAAGCAAAAATAAATTTATGAATCAAAAAATTACTAAAAAAAATTAAAAAACCTATAACTTACACAAAAAAAAAAGTCAAATTATCTTTTTTTCTTAATTTTTTGTACATATTTTCGTAAAAAATCAAAAAGTCATTCTAAGCATATTAGTTTTTTTTACCTCATATTGTAGTCAAAAAGCTAAAAAATTACTAAAATAGCATATTTCCAAACGGGGCCTTAAAACGAAGAAAAACGGGTGGTCTAAATTCTGCATTCAATTATAAAAAATGATAGATTTTATATGAATTACTAAATATTTCAAGAAAAATTACATTTAGAGGTCATATTTTGATTTTTCTGTCATTTTGGTTCCTATAATTATAATTGACTCGATATCAATCGTGAATTTATAATTTCATTTCAATTTGATCCAATCTATTACAATTTTTAGTTTTTTTTTGGATAAATTACATTGACACCTCTTGAGGTTTGGTCCAATTATATCACACCCATTGACGTTCTGTAAATTAAATTCTCATCATTGTGGTTAATAGTTTCATTTCACAAGCTCTCTGCTTATATAAAAGGCAACAACTTTTAGTAGAAAAACAAATAAAATTACATTGAAAAAAAATAAATAAAGTAAAGGAAAGGGAAAAAAATAAATAAAAGAGAAAGTAAAGCAAAGTAAAGAGTGTATGAGTTCAACGTTTTTGTTCCATCTCAATAACTACAATGACAAGGGTTAGTATAATTTTCCGAACGTCAAGAAGTGATATGTATTAAACCCAAACTTTAAGAGGTTCAAGTGTAATTTATCCTAGCTTTTTTTATGAAAGGTACGGACATAAGCAACATGCATCATGCTTTTATAGGTAAATTGTAAACTTATTCAACTTAATGAATTAATCTCAATCGACTAATTAATTATTTTTAAAAAATCCTAATTAGTGTTATCAATTGATTCAATTTAACACAAAATCTAAGATTAAAAATCAAAATTAACTAATTAAAATGACAGTGACAAAAATGATATAATAGATAAAATATAAGGGTTGTCGGTATCATTGGCCCAATCTAAGCAACCATATGAAGTTATTGAGCTATAAATTATTGCCCTACCACCATCCACACAAATTTTCTTGCTAACAATGGAAAGTGGTTCATCCCCCTTGCATACTGTAAGAAACAGAATCTGGGTAAAGGGTAAAACAGAAAAATCTTTCACCCAAAACAAAAAATAACATCACAGATTCTTGTGTTGAATAAATTAAAGGAATTCTGATTTTAGCGATGAATAGCCCAACCTACAATGAAAGAAAATGAGAGAGGGGGGTGGTTTCTCTATCAAAGGAAATGAAAGCACTTATTTTGGGTGTTCAATGCTCTCATTGTCACCAACCCTTAAATGGTAGTACATTCATCACCTCTTTTCATTCATGGTTATCTCATCCTTTGATAGCAACCCTAGAACAACCCAGCTCCCCATTTCTTGTGGTCCTCACTCTAATAAAGATGACAAACTCATTGGCAATACAAAAACAACAGAGAGAGAGAGTTGAGTGGGACGGGCGGCATGTAAATATGGAAAGAATGCAAACAGGGGGTTTCAATTGTGGATTGGACTATTACCATATTTTCAAATAAAGATGAGAGATGGGTAGTGTAGTATAGTACACCTTTTTTCTTTTCTTTTTTTTTTTAGTTTTTTTTTTTTTTTTTTTTTTTTTTTTTTTTTTTTTTGAACAGGTAGTATAGTACTCTAGGCATTGGAAAGAAGTGATTGGCTAGGGTTTCAAAGGAGGGTCTCTTATGAGAGAGTGAATAGCAGTGGCAAGTACAAGCATATGCTAAACCTTTCTTGACAATATGCATCACTGTGTGAAGAGAGAGAGAGAGAGAGAGGGAGATTTTTGGCTCTCAAAAGAAAAAGGTAAACAAACAGATAAGCACGCGTCAGTAGAGGGAACCCAACAACATTCTCTCTCATATGATATATGCATTTATTGGGGTTGGGATATTTATTGTTATACATGTACATAGATTTATAGAGAGAGGGGAGGAGAGGAGAGAGAGAGGGGTTCTCTTTTCAGTGAAAGCGACCTATATAGCCACTCAGTCAAAGGATCAATTGCCTTACAGGGCAGGCCTCACTGTATTATGCCCTCCTCGACTTATATAATTGTCCTTGTCTAGGGTTAGAGGTGGCCACGTGGTGCCGTAGAAGATAAGGAAAATTACATTTCAGTAAATCAGTGGTAAAAAAAAACTACCATATTTTTATGATGGTGTACCTTTACTTTATGAATGGTGTAAATTCATTCGTATATATAGAACCATTGTCAGAATTGCACGAAAAAAAAATTCTTATTTATATTGTAGTTATTCTATGACTGTCCTATCCATATATAATTCCTCCTAAAAATGTGTTACTGAAAATAATTCAACAATATTATAAATTCAGAAATTATTCTCAAATTTTATTGAGGAAAAGGAATTAATGATTCAAGTTGATTTTACTCTTAAATTTTATATTTTATCAATTTAATCTCTACCATACAAATACTGAACAAATGATGAGTCCATAGCATTTTTTAAAAGAATTTTCTTCTTAAATAAAACTCTCAGCTTTAATTGGTTAGATGAATCGCATTTAAATCACTGAATTCATCTATTTTGATTAATAAAAATGAAGGGCTTCGGTGAGATGAACCAAGCCATTGCATACAATCGGACTCAATTTTTGGCTTATATTTTTCAAGTTGATTTTTGAAATAAAATAATTTTCAATGTTTTTAAAAAAAGCTAAAGTTATAAGTTAAATAAACAAGCACACCCTGAGATGAAATTGCATATTTAAATTTTAAAGGGTAAATTATAATTTTTGTATTTTGTCTTTTGTGTCATTTTGATTATTGTAATTTCATTTAACTTGATTTTGACCCTTAATATTAAATTTTGTGCCAATTTGGTTCAACTAATAAAATTAATTAAAAATTTTGAAGAAAAATGATCTTTGACTTTAACAAATTTTATAATTTTTCTTATAAAAACATAGCATATATCGCTTGTGTACATTTTTTTTATCAAAAAATACTACCAATTATAATTAATTGAATCAAAATGAAACATAATTATAAATTTCAAAATCAAACCAATTGAAATTATAGAAACTAAAATAATACAAAAGTGAAAGCATAGCGACTACCGATATAATTTGTCTAATTTTAAATTATTTCATTGTGTTTTAAATGTAATTATCCCAGGATACAACTCAATAATACGAAAAAGTACTGTATCATTGTCTGAACACTACATCTAAGGGTTGGTTTGAAAAGTAGATTGACTTTTTGACTTTTTTAGCTATTTTAGCCTGGGCTAAAAAGTTTGGTTTGGAAAAGACTTTTTGACTTTTTAACTTTTTTGACTTTTTTGATGGGAGAAGAGTGTAATGATTATGGGTTCGATGGGATGTTTTGTTTGTTGTGGCTAAAATAGCCTATTTTGTCTTTTGTGACTAAAATAGCCAAAAAAAAGCCCACAAAATCACTTCCCAAACGGTGCCTAAATTATGTAAGCACCCGATACAAGACCAACCACATATAATCCCAATACTGAAATGGCCCCGTTTGTTTTCAGAAGTAGAATGGAGGGGATTCATAGTGAGGGGATTGTTAGTGAGAAGATTGTGTTTTCAGAAGTAGCATGGAAGAGATTCATAGTGAGGGGATTAATAGTGAGGGAATTATTAGTGGGGGGATTGATAGTGAGGGGAGTAAGTAAAATTGTGTTTGTTTTGATGATAATTGTTAATTTAGAAATTGTTACATTATTTTTATATAAAATAATAAAACAAATAAAAAAAATATAAAAAAAAATTAAAAATTAATATTTAAAAAAACTCCCAATATATAAAAAATAAAAAAAAAATAACAAAATTTCTAATCCCCTCACTATTTTTCTAATACCATCTTTACCTCCTCCATCTCAATCCCCCTACCAACCTCTATCTATATCACCTCCTCCATCCTACTCTCCCCAACTTTACAAACAAACACAATACTAAATAACCTCACATCCATCCTAATCTCCTCCCATCTATTTGACCACAAACTGGGACAAATAGGCCAGAGTTGAAGGGGTACCACTCCCCAAAACCAAAATACAATTCAAGGTCTTGACAACTTTTAAACAGTTATTCTATGGTCCCAGAAAGCGATCTAGGCAAAAAAAAATAAATAAATAAATAAATAAATAAAAAGAAATATCAAATCTATGGTTGGGATTTGTAGTTAGTGTTGTGACCTCATACCTTAAGTAAATCTAAACCATTTATATTATAGATTTTTATGTCTAGAATTGTAGTATTGCTCATTTCTTGAATGGAATTCATGTAACTTCGTTTGATTGGAAGAGGGATTTTGGAGAAAAAAAAAAAAAAAAAAAAAAAAAAAAAAATTTCACGGTCCAATCCAACCACACATGATCCAACTAAAAACTATTGCTCTAAAAGTATAGATGTGGAAATGCATCGCTCTTTCTTTGTCTCCAATAATTTTTTTATTAGCAATCGAAGTATATTTTATTACTCATAATAATATACTTTACAACAGATAGCTTTATCTCCAATAAATTGCCCCCTTACCTTCTTTCTTTATCCTCACCATAACACTCTCTCCCTCTCTCTCTCTCAAAAACCCCATGGCAGTCTTTCTCAAAGTTCTAGTCCTTGCTTGAGGGAGGTGAATACACAGCCCATCTCTCTCTCTCTCTCTCTCTCTCATGAACACACAATCCCACATAACAGACACAAGTACATGTATTAGGCTAATAGGGCTGTCTTTCTCAAACTTTAGACCTTATTATCATACCTAATCATAAAAGGACTCCCTCTCACTCTCTCTCTCTCTCTCTCTCTAAACACATTCACAAGATAGAAAAGAAATTGACATATGGAAAATTAGTACATCTCAAGTCTTTGATATTTCTTGCACAAAAATGGAGAGTGTGGAACTATTTCAAGAAACTGTACCCTGATCCTTTGTTACACCAGTCTTTCTCAATCTCTAATCCCACTAACTTCAAAAACTAGGGTTAGTACACTCACAAAGGCATATAAATGTATCCCTCCAACAGTAATGGCAACAATAACAACTCCATCTCTTACTCTCTTTTTGACATCAACCCCAATTCCAAACAAGAAGACCATCCCTCTTCTTTGTTTCACTTGCCTTCTCCATACATACACTACGAAGACGACGTAGTTCTCCTCCAAAACCTCCATGACCTTCTGCTTCAGCAGCAGCAGCTGCCGCCGACAACCAACGTTGATGTCGATGACAATAATACTGCTGCTAAAGTAGAAGCCATGACTACTACTAACATGGCAGAATCAAGCAAGCAATGTCACAGTGTGCTCCCGAGGAAGAGAACTTCCAAGAAAGATCGCCACAGCAAGATCAACACCGCCCAAGGCCCAAGAGACCGCAGAATGAGACTGTCCCTTGAAGTTGCCCGCGATTTCTTCAATCTGCAAGACATGCTGGGCTTCGACAAGGCTAGTAAGACCGTCGAATGGTTGCTGACTAAATCAAAAGCCGCGATCAAAGAGCTCACCAGAAGCCTTCCTCACCACATGAAACACAGCTGCAGTGTTGGTGGTGCAAACAGTGCATCTTCTACTTCCGAGTGTGAAGTTGTATCAGGAATGGATGAATCCGCTGGCATCGATGGAAACCAGCCAATGAGGACGGGTAAGGCGAAAACCTCATCGGCATCTTTAGCCGCAAAAGAGAAGAAAGCAAAAGCATTGCGTAAGTCTGCATTTAACCCACTTGCAAAAGAATCAAGGGAAAAGGCGAGAGCGAGAGCAAGAGAGAGGACAAGAGACAAGCGAAGATTCGGTGAATCAGAACAACCTTTGGAAGCCATGAATCATGACATGAACCGATTAGGGTCTTGGAGTCCCTTTGAAAATGGTGAAGAATCGGGCGTCAATCCCCACCTTGATGTGCTTGCTGATGTTCATGAAGAGCTGAGCTCATCTATGATCTTCAACTATGATCCCCACAACAGTGGAATCAATTCTCAAGAGGTAAGTAAGATCTAAAACTTTACTGATTTTTCACATACCCACAAAAAAAGGACATCAATAATGTAATAACACACGATCCGGTTATGTATCGTGGGCATCAATCAAGAGGTATAATGTGCAACAAATAATTAATACCTGACTCAAATATATAATTGTTTGCAGCAGCAACAGTTCACAGGCTTTCAAGTTTACGGCAAGCCATGGGAGGCCTACATGTACAACAATATAAACCTATGCTAACTAGATTTTCACTTGTATTGTATCTTCTTTAATAGGTTGCTTTGAGTGAATTTCCATGATCTATTTGGAAAATGTAACATAGATATGTATCTATTGGTTAATTTGCATGTTCTATTGTGAACTAGTTTGTCAATGATTGTTATGTAACTTTTATTAATGGAAACTTCTATTTTTCTTGTTATGGAATCACTAATTTATGTACTTGTGAACCCTCTATGCCTATGATTTAAATGATAATACAGATGTACTTAGTCCAAACAAAAGTGGATAAACATAGTACTGCAATTATACAGTATATAGTTCCAATTGTAACAGTCATAGGTCCTATAATTGTCCATGCTTTTGAGATGAATTTATCCTAAAACTGGTTGATATTTCAAACTATTAGTTATCTAGTCAAATTAATGATACATTTGAAAGAGCCAATTTAAACAATAATGGCCTAGAATTTCAGGGTCTTGAATGGAGATTAATGGTTGTATTCCATTTCATAAAGTCAAAACTTGATCTTTGCTTCAAAACGCTATCATCGATGACTAACCGAGTAATTAATCTAGAGTGTATGCTATTTAATTTTAAACATGTCCTAAACTGAGAGTGAGATCGATGTGCTATGCTTCATTTTAACAAAGGATTAGCTTTAGGGTTTTTATCAATATTTAGAAAATAATATTTTCCCTTTTTTCTAATTGTCTAAACAGTCTAGGCAATTCGGTTATTCAGTACTATCACTTATGATGAGCCTGGGATGATTAAACAGGCAGTGGAGAGTCACTTTGCTTCAAAACGCTATCATCAATGACTAACCGAGTAATTAATCTAGAGTGTATGCTATTTAATTTTAAACATGTCCTAAACTGAGAGTGAGATCGATGTGCTATGCTTCATTTTAACAAAGGATTAGCTTTAGAGTTTTTATCAATATTTAGAAAATAATATTTTCCCTTTTTCTAATTGTCTAAACAGTCTAGGCAATTCGGTTATTCAGTACTATCATTTATATGGAATGTTTCATTTGATATGAAACATATAGTAAAAAATGTAGTTCCTTCGTTGTCCCTTTGCCCTTTTCCTTTTGTCTACCGATAGTGTTGAAAAAAATAAACTTGTATGTTCACTATCAGAGAGTTATGTTTTTCTTCCATCCATTTGGTGGGTGTTAATTTTGAAGAAATCTTCTGCTTAAATATTGTATGACTTGACTATTGTAGAAATGTATTGGATGATGACACTTCATAGATTAAGATTTGTCTTTGTTGATGGATCTTTTTTATTGAATCTGCATCTCATCTGTATGATTGATCCATAGTTTCATTGTTTAGTTAAAGTTTGAGACAGCTCATAAAAAATTTAAAAAAACAGAAAAGAAAAAGAAAAACGAATTAGGTGCTGTGAAAAGTGCCACGGCATAACAGTAAACACTATATCATTTGGGTTGGGCAGATGCAATATTGAGTGATAACTCATCTCTTCTTCTGCTCTACTACATTTGAGATCCACCAAAGTTCTAAAACATTATGATGAAGCTTCTTCGCATGTATTGTTGAAGATATGATATTAATAGCCCTACCTACATTTAAGTCATACTAAACTCTTAAAAAAAAAGAAAAAATTGGCCTCCTATTGAATAAGATCTGTGTGATCTTATCTTCCTGAAAAGCATCTTTAAGGGTTAGCAATTTTTTTTTTATTCTAGACTAAATGCTATGCATTTAAGAACAAACCTAGTCGTAATTTATGATGAAAATTCATGTAAGCAAGGCATTGTTCCATCAGCTGCTATTCTAATTCTGGCATGGAGATTTTTTTTTTTTAAGTGATCGGTGTTTAGAATGTGCTTGTTAGACAAGTTGTGTTGCAACCTCGAACTAGCAATTGTTTTTATTGAAGAAGATTGGAGATTTGTTTGTTGCTAATTCTTCTTAAGTAAAGAATGCCTTGCTTTCCTCAGATTCTGGAAATGCAAATTAAGCATATCATAAGTTTCTCAAGATAATAAATGTCACATGGAGACCAAATTTCATAATTTCATGATTCATGTTTGTTTGAAGTGCCATAGCTAAAATAGACCATGTAATGAAAATAACCTTTCACTTTGATCTTATTTACATAGGCAAAACTAAACTTGACTTCACAAATCCAATTGTTGCTAAGCTCAAGCAAATTCAGTTACTAACTTGTGGCAACCTTGTGGATTAAAGTGATTTGCAAATCAAACATCAGCAAAGAGAAATCCGTGATAAAAAAATTTTGAGTGTTCAAGGAATGATCACGCCTACAACCAATGACTTTTCAAATTCAAATATAAAAAACACTTGGCAATCACAAATATTTTGATGGCATTAACTTGTTACAAAGAGTAATGATTATGATTATGTTTGCGAGATTAAAGATGGGCAATAAAATTGCTCATTTCATTTGTCACTAAAAGAGAGAGGTGCAAAGATTTTGACACGAGTGACTGAACTTCTTGGAGTGAAAGTTTTATAATTTGTTCCATATATTACATACAAACATTTTTTTTCTTGGCAAGAATACTAGCCGTCGCAATATCCTTTCTGATTTTACTTTTTCTTATTTATTTTTGTTTGAAAGAGCTCCCTTTTTCATCATTGAAATAGATGTGGGATAAAAAGGAGAAAGATCAACTAAAGTGCTTTGGATGCCTATAATGATGCGTAAAGTGCGGGATTTTTCACCACTAGCTAAGTAGGAGAATTGAGAAAATGTGATTGATCTTCTAATTAGAAGACCTTGTTTGGTTATCGTCGAGCTACTAATTACTTATCATGCTTCTATTATTAGTTAGACGAGTTTGTTAGAGTTGTTAGTTACACACACACACACACACATATATATATATGACAAACTCTACTATACCACATTGACAATTGAATCTAATTAAATCTGTTACAAGAATTAGGCTAATGTATAACAACTCCACCAAAGACTTGATACTAATGCATATTTGATCACTATTGATCATTGGCATATACTGAAGCAATTGTTGATGATGTTATGTATGCTGATGCAACTAACTCCACTACTGAGACTACTTCTAATGTTGAAGCAGTTGTTGCTATTGAGGTTGCGTTTTTTTTTTTTTTTTTAATCGGCAAAAAGAAAGCTTTATTGATGAAAAACATACAAAGTATGATAAAATACATCAATAAAGTGGAGCTTGGAGCTAGCTCAAGCTCCAAGCTCCTAGTTGGTGAGAAACCAACAAGCAGAGCAAAAGCAAAGACAACTACTTGAAATTACCAACTAGCTTCGTCCCATACAACAAACAGCATAGCAGACCAACTTAACAGCTCAGCAAACCTTTAACAACCAGCTTCTTCCCATACAACAAACAGCATTAAAAAACCACCATAGACAATGCTGAGGTTGCATTGACCACAACTAATGATTAATATTCTTATCATCCCCTCTCAAGCTAATAGGTGAGGGTAACACCATTAGCTTGTCCCTTAGATGTTATGTATGCTGATGCAACTAACTCCACTACTGAGACTACTTCTAATGTTGAAGCAGTTGTTGCTATTGAGGTTGCGTTTTTTTTTTTTTTTTTAATCGGCAAAAAGAAAGCTTTATTGATGAAAAACATACAAAGTATGATAAAATACATCAATAAAGTGGAGCTTGGAGCTAGCTCAAGCTCCAAGCTCCTAGTTGGTGAGAAACCAACAAGCAGAGCAAAAGCAAAGACAACTACTTGAAATTACCAACTAGCTTCGTCCCATACAACAAACAGCATAGCAGACCAACTTAACAGCTCAGCAAACCTTTAACAACCAGCTTCTTCCCATACAACAAACAGCATTAAAAAACCACCATAGACAATGCTGAGGTTGCATTGACCACAACTAATGATTAATATTCTTATCATCCCCTCTCAAGCTAATAGGTGAGGGTAACACCATTAGCTTGTCCTTTAGATACTGAAATATGTATATGACTAAAGGCCGTGACAGAGCCAGAAAATTAAATTAGAGGAAGCAATTAATGATTACAACTTCAATTTTTTTCCTGTAACTAGCAATAATAAGATAATAATAGTTTTTAAATTGATATTAAGCATAAAAACTTAATATTTGCTAGTTGATTAATAGAAGGAATGTAGATGAGAACAAATTTTTAGCAAAAATCCTCTCCTTAACAAAATGATGATCCACTTCAATAAGCTTTGAACGAGTATGAAAAACTAAATTGGATGGAAAGGATATGGCAAAAAATTGTCACATCACACTAAAGGATAGGAATAGAGGAATGAGTGATGCCGCGATAAATAATACTCCAAAAAAATTCAGGATGATGACTTTCAAAGGACGACCAAGGATCAAAAAGTAGCTTCTGCAATAGTGTGAGTCAAGGACCCACATTCTGCTTTAGTAGAGGATCTTAAGATTGTGGCTTGCTTTTTTGTAGACCAAGAGAGCAAATTGGAACCAAGAAAGATATACAATAACTAGAGATTGACCTTCTATCTTTATAATCACCTGCCTAATTGGTGTCTAAAAAGACAATCAAATCAAAGAAACTAAATAGGATTGAATGAAAGGCCATTAGATAACATTCCTTTGACATATCTAGGAAGCCTTTTAGCAGAGAAAAAATGACCAATTGTAGGAGCATGTATGTGCTAACAAGCTTAAATAGTATAAAGTCCCCAACAAGATGTTTATAAAAGGAGGGCTATAGAAAAAAAGGAAGAGAATCATTTGGATTGACAAAGGAGTTTGCTGAAATACGAGTATAATAGAGTTTGCAATTTGTCATCATGCTTCGACAAGAAAAGAGCCTTGGCCTTGAGACTACACAGATATTTCCAGGAAATAAGAAATATCCGCAAGTTTTTTCATTGAAAATGTTGAAGGAAAATTCTGAAACAAAGCATGGATGTGCTGCTCATCATTTCCAATGATAAGAATGTCATCAAGATAGATCAAAAGAATGGTTATACATAACGGTTTCAATTTGTTAGTTGATTAAATAATATTCTTAAACAATTGGGCGGTATTTACATAATATATAACACTAATTTGCATAATATTTTTCATATATAAATAACACAAACTAATGTTACTTAACATTTTTCATATATATAACTACTACTTTGCAACAAATTTCTCATCTTAAATCTCACTCATACTCATTTTTACTTTGATGTTTCATTAA